TATATTAGCTGCGACATATGAATCAAGATGCTATGACCGAAAACATTTGATTGACAGATGATCATTGATACATGATTGGCTGAATTTAGGTGTACAAGCTGACGTATAACTAACTGGCCTGCATAAGATAACAGGAAAAAAAAAAACACACATTTTGAGACAGGATTTTTTTTTTAAATAGAAATGTTCTAACCTTTTGGAAAATATGGTCTGAAAAAGAGTACATATATACATATATATATGTTTAAGCTAAGTATAAGCTAATGAGACAGGCCTGGACCAAAATAGCCTAGAAAAGGCTGAAAATAAATGTGACCAAGTTTTAAATCGAAGTGAGTTCACTAATGAATTAGCAAAACACGTGTCTACATGATGTATTCAGTCAGCTAGCTGGCTTATGGCTATGAGTTGTCACTGCACTGCAAAGGAAAGATTATTTATTTTAGGAGATTAGAAAAAGGATTTTAAACAAGCATGCTAAAGGTAAAGGCTATTAGACCATCTTTGATGTTCCAGTTTTAGGTTTCTGTGACTACAGTTAAACATATTCAGAAATCTAAGAACAATTGGACTGTAGCCAACCTCTCTGTATGTGGAGGAAAACTTGATAATAAATCAAAGAGACGGATAATATGAAGGTTAAGAAAAGAGACAAAAAATAACTAAAAAGATTGTACTTTATAATGAGATTAAAGGTAAACTTCTAGTTCCAGAAACAAGTAATAAAAAAGCCTGACTGGAATTTGTTAAACTACATGTTGACAAGCCGTAAAGGTTCTAGAAGAATGTCCTATGGTCAGACCAGAGAAAATTTTAACTTTTTATTTTTAATTTTTTAAGTGTCCTGTCTGGCAATGTGGCAATAAGAATAATTGTCTTTATGCCAAAGAGAGCCTAACAGATTTTACTTTCACAAGTGGAGCAGTACTGCTATCTCCATAGGGTTCTGCTTGATTTATGCATATAAATAGCTTTATTATAATTATGCAGGGAGCTTTACAGATTATATGGACACTGCAATGTAAGTAGAACAGGAAAGGAAAACTGAAAAAAAGGAGAAAAGATAAAAGAAAGAGGAGATAAAAGGGAGATAACTATAAAACGTCTTCAGTCTGCTTCATTACCTGCAAAGAGATGTAAAAAGAACAGGACAACCATTTCAAGGATCATTATAATGTGCATATCTGCACAGTCCCAGATAACACAATAGTGTGAGATTTGCAAGGAAAAAAACTTGAGTTTTTAAGAAAAACATGAAGACCTAAACTCAATCTCCAAAAAAGCCAAGTGAAAAAAATACTTTTTAAGGTAACAGAACAGACAGCAGTTTTAGCATAATTTAAATAAAGCAATGCAGGAAAAAAAATAAATAAATTCTGAAGCATAGAGCTAGAAGAGTCATTTGAGGTCGTTTGAGGAGGCTTTGCTGCAGCAGGATTTGTTGTATTAGGTTGTTAAGTAGTATCTAAGATCATATATTGAATTATAAACATATAAAGATAAAGTAGAACTGAATCCAAAATAATCATAATGACTAACTGTACCAGATCCACTCAGGAATCGGTGAGAATGAAGAAAAGGGACGTCCTAGGCACAGTTAAAGCTCAGAAATAGTGCATACCTGCAGGGGATGCCTCAGACATCTCCCACCTGTAAATGAGGAGTGAGTCAAACTTTCCTCTAAGCGACTACATTTGAAAACTCTTAGAGTTTTCAAATGTAGAAAGGACAGTTTTTCTTTTCCCCTTCTTGCCTTTTGCCAGGTTTTTTAAACCACTCTCCTTTCAGAGATAAACAGAAAATAAGCAAAAACATTGCAATGCTATGGTTCTTTAATAAAGAACTGAACATTTAAGTGTCATTATTTGTTTATGACTGTGTACGGTCCAGCAAGCCAAATCTAATAAACATGTTTTAAGTACCTCAGCAGGGCTTCGGTTGCTCGCTTTGTCTTGGATTTGCAGTTTCACCAGTTGCTGAAGCAAATTTTTCTTATGCTGCAAAAAAAAAACAACAAACAAATACAAAAGGTGGGTTACAGTCAAGAACCACAGTTCAGAAAAAGATTACTAAATCACATTAGAGTGTTTAGACAATCCTTTGGGTTCTTTTTGGCCAACAAAACTGTTATGACCCATAAGATACAGCATCAAAAGTAAAAGGCTGAAGAAAAGGGGCAATGTCAGATGCAAATGGTTGATCTACAGTGACGACATAAAAAAAAGAATGAAAACGTTTATAAGGGATACTGCTGGACATGAATAGCTTTCCCTGCATTTATTGGCTGTGTCTGAATGTCCGCCCTAATCACTATATGGGGCACTATATAGTGGTTACGTCATTTTAGGTGAGTGTCTGAATGTCTAGTGCATAAAAAAGCAGTGGACTCTAACTTTCATAAGTAGTGATCATCACTAGATGAGCAGATGTATCCCGGATTTGTTGTGACAGCAGCAGCGACAAATAACAAAGATGGAGGAGGCACCGTGCGGGAAGGCAGAGTCACTTGATCAATGGGGAGCGAAAAGTAGTGATCATCTGTCCAAACGGTCAGTTAACAGACTTCACTACAGTCTAGTATATAGTCCCTGCTCTATATGGTGATTGAGGGATTTAAAGTGGATGCTTGGACATGACTTAAAGTGTTGCTTTAATTGCGCTCCCCTCCGTATGAAATTGAAAAATAAATTAGGCAAACTTCAGAAAAGACTCTGATAGTCACCTCACTCAGTTACAGACTTTCCAGAGTCCCTGTTGTTACTTCATTTCCTTTATTAAATTTAGTTCCCATTATCTTTGAATTGTTAAAGGAATAGTACACCCAAAACATGATTAGCCTTCATTTTCTACTCACCCCCATGCTGAACAACACTCTGGAGTACTTTTTTG